CTACTCATTAGTAGATGTATGTATGTTGCAGATTTAGAATTCTCTTGTCATAATTAAACTGAAGATCTGTGTACTCAGTCAGGCATGCCCAACGTTTCTTCATAGTCTGGACCCGTATTCTACTCCTGGTGCCTTTTAACACCCTGCTGAATTCAGCAAAAGCTTAGTAACCTTTCTCAGGCAGCATCACATATAACCTTTTTTTTTTTTTTCTCACCATCCCATGTGGTAGGTTTCTCCTTTACCAGAACAAGGAAAGAATATTTTTCTAAAGTAAGAATAGAAACTGAATATGTAAAATTGTCCTTAAGCTTCATAAGGAATCGTCTCCTGAGAATGAAGTAATTGTGAGCCCACAACAACCAGACTACCTACCCTCTTCTAGAAGGTGTGGGGGAAAGAAAGAAAGAAAAAGAATATCTGCTTCTGACCTGGGTAGCTTGGGAAGCAGCATTGTCAGCCATAGTCAAGCTAGTTCCAACCAAAATCTCTCAAGGACACTTACAGGATTGTTGCAAGACAAATGTTTACATGTGTAGGATCTTAGCTGACCTACCAGTGCGTATGAAATACAAATCTATTTTATTTTGTTTTAAAAATTAATTCTATTTACAGTGCTAAGGTTTCAGATCGTGTTTAAATCACTGGGCTTCACCTATAGTAGTGGGAGTACGTAGAGTCCTAAAAGACTTCTCTACAGATGGCCTTAATCCCATGGGGAGACTGCAAATTAATACAAGGGTCATTGGCATTCATCGAGTACTTGGTCTGTCTGGCAAATGATGACATCAATCTTGGTGCAAAAGGGATCATGCATTATTCTATATACAATCAACAGCTAAATTTAAACAGTGGTGTGACAATAATTTTTTTTTTTCAAGAAGGGTCATTAATAGCCAAGGGTCTGAACCATCAAACCTTTACTTACATGAACAGTCTTTGCTCATAAAGGTTATCTCATTAGCCAACTGCCTCGGCGAACAAGGCCCTTGTAATACAGGGCGTGAGGAATTAGCATCTGAAGGAACAACTTCTCTAATTAACAGATTAAAAAAATATCCATGTACAAAAGTCCATTTGGGGGTTTTGCAAATATGTATGCTGTCTGCTTCTTAACAATGTGAATCCAGAGAAAATTGGGAGTTATCAAGGTTGTAACGAGTACAGACATTGTTGTAAAATACAAAAACTATCCCATTCATATAATGTCCTCTATTGCACAGCGGCCAATCCTACTTGAGCAAGAAACCTAACCTCCATAAATGTCATACTGCGTATATACTATGGGGAAATTCACTATAACTAATGAGCAATTTATTCTTGAAAGAGGGCACTCTTGAAGAGATCATATCTTTTATTTTTATGCCAAATAAAGGAAGGGTTTTTCATGACCACATTATCTACTGGAGATATATTCTTTTTCCTATTTTAATATTCAAATCTAATTATATCAGTTAATCAGAGCAAAAGAATAATGCACAGCTACTGGTCTATAACTATACAGAATTTTCCCCCGATTTCTGAAACTCCATTATGGGTATTTGAATCCATATACTTTGGCTGGTTGGCAGCCAGTATGAACTAGAATGCCAAGGTATATATAATTACATTAGCTATTTCCCCTCTTCTCCACAATGCTTCTCTTCTGCCTGTCTCTCTCATTAAAAATTGTAAAGTTAGTTGCCAGCAAGAACTACCTCTGCTTTTCATTTCTTCTAGCTGAAGCAGAAATATTCCAAAATTGTAC